CACACACACATACACACGCAGACATGCAGACTCACACACACACAGACACACACATGGAATGAGGCACAGATGCAGTTCTGAGCCCTGGGCAGGACCGCCTCTGATTTCCTTCTCCTCTTCCAGAGCAGAGTCCCCTATCCCTGAGGGCTTGCAGGGAGGGGAGGAGAAGCAATGTATTCAGTTTTCAAACATTGTGCCCCAGTCCGGAGTTCCTGAGCTTTCAGGCCCTCCCCAGACCCTGCTGGCCTCTTCCAGGAAGCCCTTACCATACCCGCCATGCCCGCCACCTAACAATGAGAGAGGAAGAAATGAGGATGAGGAGGCAGAGATACAGAGCCTTCCAGCTGGCCGAGGTCACAGGAGCCTAGAGCCAGAGGCGGAAGGAATATTGGAGGTCGTGGCTTTCAACCCTTTCACTTTACTATGAGGAAACTGAGGCCCAGAGAGATGCTCAAGGACACAGGCAGTGAGTGTCAGAGAACCCAAGTCTACTGAGACCTTAGAGGCCATCTAGACCAACCTCTTCATCTAACAGGTGGGGAAACTGAGGCCCAGGGAGAGAGAGAACTTGCCCAAGGTCACTTAATGAGTCGCTGTTAGAGCTGGGTCCAGTTAGACTTCTGGTCTCCTCCTTCCCATTCCAGGCAGAAAAGCCTCTAATTAGGGTGATGAAGGCCCTGGGCAGAGAAAGGAGTGAGGCCAAGGGCCCAGCGAGGTTATCAGCCCAACCCAGAGGAGTGTGAAGTGGGACCAGGATGTCCCAGGCTAACTCCGTGCTTCAGAAGCCTCATTCTGGACACAGCAAGGGGGGGGGGGGGGGGGGGGCTGGGAGGCGTGAGAGAGGAAACTGAGTCCCAACCCTACAGGTTTGCCCCTGCTCTGGCTGGGATCTGGGGCCCAGCCGGTGGCAGAATCAGTTTTAGTTTCTATAGTGAGGGGATGAGGAGCCAGCCCGGCAAGCTGAGGTCAGACCCCTCCTGAGTAATCGAGCCGGGCGACAGCCACCAGCCGGGGAGCACATCGACACCACACACAGGTGCCCCCATCCTAGGTATTCACAAAGAAATACGTGTGTGTGCGTGAGCGCGCACACGCGCTTGCACAGATCTGGTCATGCTCACCTGATATTAGTGTGTTGTATAACCTAGCTGAGCCCCAGGTCCTTTCACTGTAAAATATGAGGGATTTTCTAAACCTCCTCCCAGCTGTTCTAAGGCCCCCTCCCAGCTCTGACATTCCCTGTTCTAAGGCCCCTCCCAGCCCTGATATCCCCTGTTCTAAGGCCCCTCCCAGCCCTGACATCCTCTGTTCTAAGGCCCCTCCCAGCTCTGCCATTCCCTATTCTAAAGTCCTTCCTAGCTCTGACATTCCAGATTCTAAGGGCCCTCCTGGCCTTTCCATTCCAGGACACTCTTCCTTTTGGAAGTAACCGATGTGCTGCCTCATATGAGATGGTGAGAAGCGTGTGGATGGTGGAGGAACATGGACATGTACGGTGACCAAGGGAGTGCACCCCTCTCTGGGCTTTGACTCACTGTGAGTGGATAGATGTGCCCACGTTCTCTTACCCAGCTCATCTTCCCATACTCCTTCCCCCTCCTTCCAGGGCCGGCCCCTGGGGAGGCCAGAGGCCCCTGGGGAATTTGACCTCAGCCCCATAGGCCTGAAAACAGAGCTGTCTTCTTCCAGGAAACGCAGGCACCTGGGAGCCCACGGTCTTTCTGGGAAGGGTCCTGGGGAGCGGTGTTGGTGAGAAAATTCTTGGTCCTCTGCAGCCCTGGTACCCTTGCGCTTCCCCTCCCAGACTTTTCTGATTTGGCCAGGCCTCTCTCGGGGGCCAAGGGTCCTGAGAGCAACAAGGTTTAGGCCGTGGCTTCCGAAAGTGGGACAGGACAGCTTTTTTTTTTTTTTTTTGCTTTTGGTTGCAGCTTTATTACGCTTAATAATATTTTATTTTTTTCTAATTACATGTAAAGATAATTTTCAGCGTTCACTTTTTAAAAACACTGTTATTTAAAGTTTTGAGTTCCAAATTCTATCCACCCCTCCCTCTCTCCCCTCCCCCTTCCCTGAGACGTTAAGCAATCAGATACAGATTATACACGTGCAATTATACAAGACCTTTCCATATTAGTCATTTTGTACAAGAAGACTCAGATAAAAGAAATGAAAGATAGCCTGCTTCAGTCTGTGTTCAGGCCGTGTCAGCTCTGCTCCTGGAGGCAGAGAGCATGCTCCATCATGAGGCCCTTGGAGATGTCTTAGATCCTTGCATTGCTGAGAAGAGCTAAGTCTATCAACGTTAGTCATCACACAACGGGGCTGTTACTGTGTACAACGGTCTCCTGGTTCTGCTCGCTTCACTCAGCATCAGTTCATGGAAGCCTTTCCAGGTTTTCCTGAAATCTGCAGGGCAGCCTTCAGACTCCTTGGGTGACCTGCCCCTTGGTTCTGGAGGTGCAAAGAGACAGGGCTTGCCATTCACAAGGGAGGAGACTGCTAGGAAAGCCAGGCCTCTCCCCTGTCAACATACCCCACCTGTTCTCTTTCCTTTTCTCTGACCCCTTATTGAGACCAGCCCCCCACCTTGGGAAGGGCTCAGCTCTCCATCATTGTTCTACTGGGGGTGGGGGTGGGGGATATGGTCTCTGGAACCCTGATTTCACCACAGCCTCCGCTCCCTCCCCTTCCTGGGACCCAGGTTCCCAAAGTGGCTTTCGAAATGATTCCCCACCGCACCTGTGGGAGGAGCATGGGTGGGGGAGGGGGGAGGCCTCAGGCAGGGTTACTGGACTTGTGTGTGGGGGGGGTGATGTTCCTGAGTGCTGAGTCAGCCCTCGATGACCACTCAGGACGTCTGAAGGCAGCCCCAGTGGCCTTTCTGCTCCCCAAATGGTGTTCTCCAAACCATCCAGTTAGACAGGGAGACAGGGAGTGGTCAGATCCTTACCCCCATTTTACAGAGGAGGAAACTGAGTCCTTGAGAGGGAATGATAGAACAATCAGTGAAGTGTAAACCTTGCCCAGACTCATAGAGGAGACTTGCTTGTGGTCAAAAACTAGTAAGTGCCAGGGATAGGATGTGCACCCAGATTTCTTGATTCAAAATTCAGCCCTGGAGGAGGAAAGAAAAGAAAAGAAAAGAGGAGGTCGTCAGGTCATCGTCTAGTGTGTCAAATCCTGCCTTGTGCAACCTTGGGAAAGTCACAACCTCCCTGTGCCTCAGTTTCTCCCTCTGTAAAATGAGGGGTGGGACTGGCTGGCCTTGGAAAGCCCTTCCAGATCTCCAGCTTCACCAACCTCTACTCCACTCAGCTGAGGGTCCTCGCTGTCTCTAGAACTCCCCTTGCATTTTTCCATCCCTGGACCTCTGCTTGAGCCGTTACCCACACAGCCATACTCTCCCCCCTCGTCAGCTCTTCTCTGGCCTTCAGTGCCCAGCTCAGGCCTTCTTCCTCCAGGAGTCCTGTCCTGATTACCCCTGGATGTCTCTCCCTTCTCTGGTCCCCTTCCACTCAGGGCTGATGAAGCTCGCTTGGACTTGTTCCCTGGCTGCCCCTCACTTCTCCTGGGCAGGTCCCATCGAGGAACACATTGATTCAGCAACTTGGTTGCCTTTGAGCAGATCACTTTCCCTCTCTGGGCCTCAGTTTCCCTCTCTGTACTAGATGGCCTCTTTTTGTACCACACAGCAGGATGGAACCCTACCACTCATCTAGTCTAACCTGCTCTTTTGCAGAGAGGGAAACTGAGGCCCAGACAAGTGAAATCAACATGCTCAGGGTCACACAGCTAGTATGCTTCTAAAGAGGGACAATTTAAGTTCCAGGATTGGACAAAGCAGGAATTTGGAACCACATCCTCGGTTTCTAAACCCCAATATTTTCCCATTGTACCACACCATTTACTTGGCCCTTCTTTGTGCTCCATAGCCAAGCAGTAGATCCGGTGTGGGTACTGTTCTGTTATTTTTTTTCTTTTAAATAGTATTTTATTTTCTCCAATGTTTTTCCACATGTAAAGACAATTTTTAACATTCTTTTTTAAATAAAATTTGGAGTTCCAAATTTTCTCCCTCCCTCCTCTCTAAGAGAGTAAGCAATTTGATATAGGTTATATGTGTGCAATCATGTAAAACACATTTCCATATTAGTCATGTTGTGAAAGAAGAAACAGATCAAAAGGAAAAACCAAGAAAAAGAATAAAGAAAGTGAAAACAGTCTGCTTTGATCTGCATCCAGACTCCATCAGATCTCTCTCTAGATGTGGACAGCATTTTTTTTTAAAGAAACACGGTAGAAACAATTGTTTTATTTACAGAATATTGACATTCTTATAGTCTGTGTATAGAGTATCTTGTTCTAGGATAAAATATGATTTTTTCACTTTGGCATTTAAAGTCCCTTCATAATCTGACTCAAATCTATATATTTTTTTTAAGATTCATTAATTTATTTATTTTTAGTTTTCAACAGTCACTTCCACAAGATTTTGAGTTCCAAATTTTCTCCCCATCTCATCCTTCTCCCAACTCCAAATCAGCATGCATTCTGAATACCCCTTCCCCTAATCTGCCCTCCCTTCTAGTGGATAGCATTTTCCATCATGATCTTTTTTTTTTTTTTTTGTTGGGGTGAGGCAATTGGGGTTAAGTGACTTGCCCAGGGCCACACAGCTAGTAAGTGTTACATGTCTGAGGCCAGATTTGAACTCAGGTCCTCCTAACTCCAGGGCTCTATCCACTGCGCCACCTAGCTGCCCCGGGCATTTTCTATCATGAATCATTTGGAATTGTCTTAGATCATTTACTGCTGAGGAAAGCTAAGTCTGTCGTAGTTGATCAACCCACAATGTTGTGCTCTGTTGTTTTTAATTTAAAGCTCTTTTGTTCCCTAAAAATTCAGAGCTTCCTGCAGTCCCCCATACCCACTCTTTCCCTGCCCCAGCCACACCCCATAAGGCTGAGCTGACCCTTACCTGTCCTCCTCTGAGCCGGGAGCTCACTGATTGGCAAAGCCAGGTGTAGGGCCCAGCCAAAGTCTCCTCCTCTATTAGAATGTGAGCTCCTTAGGGCAGGAATGGCGTTTTGCCTGTGTTTGTATCCCTGGCACCCAGCACAGGGCCTGGGATATTAATATATGCGCTTGATTGATGTTTGCTCACTGACTCAATCAACATGTGACCTTGCCCTAGAGTTTGAAGGCTGCCGTCCCCTACCCCAACCCCCAGGTGTCTCCTCTCACCTCCCTAGTGAAATTGGCAGGACATTCTTAGGAT